GTTGGGTGGGTAGATTGACCCTGAAAAGCCCCCATGGGGAGTGGTCAACTAACGTATGTATGTATGTATGTATGTATGTATGTGCAGATTGGGTCAAAGTCATTAGTTATGGACTCAACATTGTAAACACACAGACAACTGTACCTGTATCTGTATGAAGAACCAATCCTAAACAAGCCACTATTGCGACGATGGGAGGTATTGGCTTTGTCCAACCTAAAGACAAAAGTTATATCCCTAAGGTAAATCACTTAGAAATGAGTAAACAATTCAAGTCAGAAAAAAAGGAAATTTTAGTAATGATTAGAAGTAATATCAATTGACTTAAGGTGTGGTCACTTTGGATGTGGAATGTGAGGATTTGAATGCATAATGTGAGGATTTGAATGCATAATGTGAGTCTCCCTGAGTGAGTGAGGTTGACTAGTTGCTCTTTACCACATAAATCATTATTCACCGGTATGATCATATGGTTCTTGACAGCTGTAACTGATGCATTTTAAAGATTTGTTCCCCTTTACAAAAGTAATTTGTTTTCCTAAAAAAAATTATACATTCCCTACACTTTCCATGTTTTTCTTTGTTTTAATGAAATACTGATTTGTTCAAAATTAGTAAATCTACAAACAGAAAACTTACCTAAAAAATGCATGATGCTCCACACAACATTTCCAAAGATGTTTGCAGGCTGTCTTGGTTGGAAGATAAAATTTAAAGGTATACTCCCTCTCCTGTGGTAGGAACAACCCTAACATTATTACCAAAGTTTTCACAAGTTCCTCTTTCCATCAGATGCTACACTGAAATGGCCAGTGCCTACTGTAGAGAATTATTGTGCAATCTGTGAAATTTTTATCTCATTATCCCTTTATGTTTAATACTATGATGAGTTAAAAGACCCAACTTTCACATGACTTGAAGTGTATCAGGGTCTAAAGGAGATGGTCTCATAATTTCAGGCAAAGATCCTGAGCTAGGTTTACTCTAGCTGGTAAGCTTTCATAGACAATAGTCCCTGTGTGGGCCTATCTTTTCCCAAAGCTGACATCTCAATTATGCATAAAGAAATTTGAACAATTGCCCAAGGAATTGTGGGGAATTTAAAGGAAAACTACTACAGTAACTATAACATCTTTGTTTAACCTTTTTGAATGGGTTAAAATCACAAAAAGCTATTCAAGAATTCAATGTCTTATCTTGTTATTGAGTAACCAATAAGTTCATTTCTTATACAGTAGTCTTTGGGTTTAACATCTTCTTGTGACTTTGAAGAAGTTTATCACCTCTTTCCCTTTAACTGTTAAGTAGAACTTCTTTCCTTTAAAATCAACTTTTTCTATTTTTGACCTGCAATAGAGATGACAAAAAATATCATTGACAGAGTATGCAGACCAACTCCTCCCCCACCTTCACTACCACCCACCCTCTAAAATTCCTGTTTTATTTGCACTTCCAGTTCTTAAAATAAAAATACTTGTCACCCCTTCGCCTTAAAATTTTTTTCCGAATAAGTAACAGGGACGGGGTAGGGGGGGGAGGGGGGAGGAGGTTGAATATTGAATTTCTTCAACTGCATTTTGGAAACAACATGTACAAGAGAAAAAACAAATTGCCCAAAGATTACTATTGAATCCTCAAAATCCTCCAAACCAGAATTATCTTGTAATACATCTTCATTTAGCTGATTAACAGAATGAAGGTGACACAGTCAACTTACCAAAGATAGGATCCAACACGAGTCTTGTTCTTGTAAACAGCAACTCCAGAAGGTTTGAGCGCAATAAAATATTCTATAAAGTCCTCCCCCTTGGAGAAAGAAGTTATAATCACATTTTCAAATGTTTAACATGTAAAAGTTTAATTAAGATGTTTTTCTGTCTTGTTGCAAGCATGGGACAAAAGAAAAATTTGTCCCCAAGAGGAATCAATCCTCAGAGCTTTGGATTCTGTGTTCTGAAACTCTACCAATGGGCCTCAGAGACCCTATAGTGAGCTAATTAGTCCATTACTAGGTTCATATGTAATTCCACATACTGCTAGGATCAACATGTGATTAAATATTATAATTACTTGCCTTCACAGGATGCAAGTCAACTCCATACATTTCCAGCCACTTTATTTTATCAAGATACATAAACTCTGCCACAGATGGAACCATATTGCTAGGAGAAGAAAAATAATTAAAGAATGATCTGATACGTAATTCTCCTTTCTAGCTGTTTTTAATTTCCTTGTAAATCAGCCCCCAGAATGAAGTGTTACATCAACTGAAGATAAACCTTCCTGCTAATTATTTGAAATGCACATTTTCATCACCAGTTGGCTGGATGCGAGAAGATACACCTTGATCTCTTTTAGGAGTTAAAAAGGTAACCATCTACCAAATAATTCACAAGTATCAAATTAAATAAAATTCATGAACCAAATATTTGTTTGGGTCATTCAAGACAAATTGTAATCTCACCCAAGCTTCTTGTGTCTGTGGTAAATCTTGCTCTCCAGCTCCTCAGTCTAAAAAGAAACCAAAAATAAGGCATACAGTGCAACATGTGAGAATTCACTCTCGGTGTTGTATTTCCTAAGATACAAAGAGGTCAACATAAGCAACAGTACTGTAGTTTTCTGGTGAGTATCAATACTTGCCTGATTAGGAAGAAATCTAAACTCAGATACGTAGCCTGTGGTGTGTTCTTTGGGTTCATATTCTCCGAGTTCAGCTAAAGGAAAGAATAAATAAAAATTCAATTTACATTATTTTGTACCCTTCCAAAAATCAAAGAAAAATCGTCCTTATTCTAAGTACTACGTGTATTGTTGATTCAAGATACTCACACTGAAGACTGTATGCGGATACTTCAGCAAGGATGTTTGTTGAACAAGGCAACCTACAGAGACAAAAAAAAACGAACAAACAATGCAAGAGCATTGAAAATCTTATTAGCATCACACGGAGAGGTTCATTGTGATCCATAATTTTATGTCATATCAAACTCTTAGTGCTGCCTTGAACCAAAATTTCTATCTGTTGAGAACCAATGGGTATGCAGAGGAGAAAGAAGACACAAAACAAAGAGCTACCCAGCATATCATGTTTCAAAAATGGCAGTCTCAAGGAAAACAATGAAAGATGATTATGAAAATCTTTATTCACTCAGACAAACATGTTTCTTCTTTCGACCTCTTCATTCTCAGAGTGCACAGCTATAAAAGTGTACTTCAATTATCCAAGCCAATTTTTTGGGTATGTCCAGTGTTCAAGATAAAGAACTCTGCTACACATAATTATTATCACAATATCAAACTGAGAAGTGGCCAACAAGTAGTGTTAGAATTTTCATACCTCCCCTGGTAAATGTCTTTCTTCACTTGCAGGAAGAACAAATACCTGGCAATTAAAAAGAAAAGTAGACAATGCAATGTTGTAAGAAATTCATGTGCAGTCTACCTGGATCCTTCAGTTTATATATAAAATTGCAGTAAATTTTTAAATTATTTTTATTAATAGTATCCCCCTCCTCTCAGTGTTTGTTGGAAGGGGGTGATATAGCTGATGTCAGTTGTAACTCAGTGATCAACCTATTTTCAACTGATCAGCTATATATAGGTAAGAGTGGAGAGGATTTCTGAGAGATTGGAAGAGCTTAAGAATATTGCACTGAGTGGAGTGGTATATGTAGCCATGGAAACCCCATTAATGGCATCCACCCAGGCATCACCACACTGCCAGTCAGTGAAAAACTTAATAAGTTTTTTCTCATCAACATCAAAGCCTGAATTTACAAAGACATTAGGGACCTTAAGCAACCAAGACGGCGACGACAATGAGGACGTGGAAAAACAAGAGATCTAATTGGCAGATCAATAGCTTAGCATGTGCCTTTTGAAACTTTGTACATTTCGTAGCCGTCCTATGCAAAACAACAACGTGAAATTGCCAAAATTTGCGTCGTCTGTGAGCCAAAACCGTGACGGCAAATTATTCTAATTTCCATTTGGAACTCAATGCTACTTTTACACGTCATGCTGAAGTTAAGCTGTGGCGCCATATGAGACAGTAAACTCATGTACTTATTTTTGAAATTCTAACTAAGAGTAGAAATTCACTTTTTAATCGAGGTCTTCCTTGGCGTTGCCGTCCTGACTGCTTAAGTTCCCTATTATCTTAACTGTGACAAAGAATTAACCAGTTACTAACCGGGTCAGTTCTTCGTGGAGTCTACAAGGATCAGCTGCATAGAACTTGACACAAAAATACAGCAAATAAGGAGGACCAGCTGATTAAGAAAACACACACAGAATATGATACATATATCTTATTAACCAAGAGCGAGGGCCGTACTGGGAGAATATTGGCCTGAGGTCTTGACAGTATGGACCGAGTGCAGCGAGGTCTGTACAAAAAAGACAGAGGGCTGATATTCTTCCAGTACGGTCCCGAGCAAGCTTGGTTAATAAGAGATTTATTATACGACTGAAGTTCAAAGGGACACAAGTGCGGTATCATTCGGGACCATTCGGGACAGTGCCCGGTCCAACGCTGAGAGAACATTGACCGACAATAGAGCATTTTGATTGGTTGATTTTAGTTATTGGCCCTCTGACTGCCCGAGTCGTGTAATAAGATACAAGTATGTACTACACCATGAATAGCAAGATGCTGACAGGATTGATTGTTTTTTTTTTTTCCTTTTCTGCCAGGTATCAAACAAAAATAATTGCAACAACAATAATTATACTGAATTTAAAAACAAATACTGATAACAATTATCATTATATTTATGACTGACATGGCACCTTAATTACTACAATAATTATCCTTATCATAGTTACTATTCATAATTACTGTAAGTTATAGTAATGATGAGACCATCATATCAAAATAAGAAGTATGCACCACATAGCAAGCAGGTATACATTTGGCAAAGTACTGAGAAGTAAGAACACAGTGCAAAGTAGCAAGTTACAGATTATTCTCAATATCTGAACAAAAACTAGCTCCAGTCATTCAAATTAAGGCCGATAATTGTGCCTCCTCTAAACTGTCCCTACTATGAACTCTGTGTCATATGGTGAACAAACCTTTTTCTTTCTCTGCACCTATATTATTGAACAGTCTACTGGATTCTGTTAAAAATACATCTTTTTCATCTTTTAAAACTGCCCTTAAAATATTCTTGTTTCAGAAATTTTATTCTTGATTTATTTTATGAGGAACTGTACCTAGCTTTCCTATCAACTAATTCTCAATTCATTGTTTCATTTATTTTATTTATTACAGTTATGAGATACATTTTATAGGTATAATCAACAAATTTATCACTATTTTTCTATAGAGCAGAGTAAGCACATTGAGTTTCTAAATGCATCCAAGAACTTTGTTATTATCATTATTATTATTATTATTATCATTATTATTATTTCTATTATTATTATATAATGACTACTCAATTTTTCAATCCCTGATGTCTAATGACCACCCTGAACAGGTACATTTCTAGTACACACACATGTACATGATGTTTTATGCTCACCTGTTAACTGTTTTACCACTGGTTTCAAAGGATCCAACCATCTCTGGGATGAGTTTGAAATAAAAAAAACAAAACAATTTTATCAGTTTTTCATCATTTTTTTTTTTTACAATCTAATAAAAAGTCTTCTACGTATACAGACTGAACAATTCATGGTCACTTTAGTAGCAGTCTACTTATGCAAGAACACAGAACAACAGCCCTCTACAGAAAAGCTTTTGAAAGGGAGAAGTAGCCACAAGTTCAAAGTTCTTTTCTGTGCCACTTATCAGAGATCTGTGGCTGATGATGTTCATACTAACAAAAAAACAACATACCGACTGACTGTCCCGGTCAATATAACGCAGTCCAAAATAGTCTTTCTCCAGTATATTGAGGTGCTGGAAGACCTTTTCTAAGACTTCTTCTCCTTTGGTCTTTTTCTGATATGAACAAAGTTTACTTCACACACTGATAACAAAATTATATACTCAGATAAGACAAGGACTCATTTGCATCCTTTGATTTCTAGTAAACAGGACATAACATCATTTTCCATGGCTTCCTCTTTCCAATCTGGAATTCCCAAGATGCAGAACAAGGCAATAAATATAAGGAATACTAATGTAGAGAATTATTACCTAATGAAATTAGCTTCAAGTTGGCAAAAACAAATTTCTTGGGTAGATAGAAAGAGGTGAAAAAGGGTCAAGACCCCATTTACCCTTTTCACCCTAACATCGATCTATTTTCTTTATCCACTTGCTTAAAAAAAATATTCAGTTTATGGAGGATCTTCTTATTATAAAACTATTAATTGTAGCCCTAAAACTTCTGGGTTCTTTTGGCAAGCATTTAGTTGAGGGTTAGAAGAAAATAAAAACGTTCTTCACCAGCCTAGGTACATCTGCATTGGGAAAAACTGTGCCCCCTGTCTTTAATACCAACCGAGGCCTATGGCCTCTAGTGGTATCCAAGACCTCACAGTTATTCCCAATACGGACCTACCATCTGGTGAATAACATATCTAAAAACCCAAGTGAAGAAAATGCAGCAAAAGTAACATGTCCGATGCAAACCTCTTATGCTAGAGGCAAGACTGCTAAACCATGGTGCTGCACCACTTCTCCATATTTGAATACAACACTCGTTGAAAGTGCATGTAATAGGATGCAGCAAAACCTTCTAATACTCAAAACAAACTCCACAACCCTCCCTCCACCACAAGACAAAGATTCTGCATCGTCTACAAACTCCTTGTCCAGATTAGGGCCATTTTGACAGTTAAGGAAAATGATCTGCGGTTTACTTATGCCTCAGCTTATACAGCACACGAACTAGACCATTTATATGAGCACTGTTTGACGATAAGCGGCCAGGGTCTGGTGTTAATGGTTCACATGTTATGTCTTATGGAGTTGTGGGAACCCCTCATGAGAGTGGGAAATATGCAAAAGCATAACACAAGTGCAGGAAAAAATTCCCCTAGTGCCATGTAAGTCTCACATCTTATGTAAGTCACAAACGAGCCACAAAGCCATTTGCACAGGTGCTTTGGGATCTTAATTTAATTCAACAGTCTTGTCTTACATAAACCACTGCTTATAAAAGTGAAAATAATATTTATATGGTGAGTTTGTGTCCTAGTTACCTGTAGATTACAGTCCTAATGTAACACTGTGACATTACAGTCAGGGCTATTTACATACAGTGTTTACAGTAAAGAATAAAAATTTTCCTATAGGGAAAATGATCTAGACATTTCTTAACATGTGTAGTTCTAACACAAATCCTACCTTCAATCAAGTGAAGAAAAGATAAGCATATGGCCAAAATTTTAATATCGATCATAAAGTAGGTACATTAAGTTTTTGAAAACTCGTGACAAATCAAGAAAGTCTGATTTCCTTCATAAGTTTTTGGGAACAGATAATTATGGACTAAACAAATTGAATTTTTTACTCCACAAAAGGAACAGCTGTAATTAAACCACGCAAAAAATACTAATTACTCTGTCAAATTTCAAATACAAAGCGAACAATCGTAAATTATTCATACCATTTAGGGTTCATTTGGTGATAATTGGCGCGGTGCTGAATGTTTTATTTTCGGTCCACTTGATCTCACCGCTTGTTTTATTTATTCATGAATTTTAAATAAACGACGCAGGAAAAAAAAATTTAAGGGTTAACGAAATACTTGATCGCAATTAGAACGAAGTTTACAAGCCAAAGAGCCGTCGATCTCGAAGTCTGTGATATTATATCTGAGAATAAAATAGATGCAGCAATATCATAGTGTTGTTTAAAGCGAATAGAAGGACTGATATCTTTAAGTAGCTTTTTGAAAAGACAAGAAGTAAGCTTATTTAGTGGTAAACGAAGAGAGTTTATTTGATTATTCTCGAGAATGCTGTACCACCAATAATACTTAACTTATAGCTTCGGGTAAAATGGTGGCGACAAGAACAGATACAAAACTAAAGTATTCACTGAAACAAATAAAGCAACCCCTTTTGATGTAATTAGAATGTTCCCTGAGGGACAGAAATCTTTTTATCACATCTGATCTTATCGAACGAGCAGTGAAATGAAATCATTTTAGCTCTAGACTTACAACCATGAACGAGATGAGATAAAGCGAACAGAATTCGAACAGTGAAAAAGGATCAACACGTCTCCGTAGAAACCCTTGATTATGACAAAGTCAAGTATTTTGTATATCGTAAGCTCTTAGAATAAATTCATTCGAGTAAACATTTGTAAAAAATCATTCCCACATGCTGACAAGCATATATGCCCAAGTAACCGTCTGATCATCTGTTTCCCGAGAACAGCTTGATTCAGACTTTTCGTCCCCGCAAATAAGATAGAGTTTTTTTTTTCAAGGAAAACTCTGCGTGTAGGTTAATTCAACTTCTGAACCCGGTAATTGCACGGAAAACCGACATTATACTCGATCGAAGCTTCGATAAACCGTTTGCACTTTCTGCAATGAATTGCGCTTTTGAAGATATCGCGTGCATAGTGAAGTAAACAGTATGTAGTCAAAACAGTGAATATTTTCCTTCAGTGTTCTACCACAAGTTTTTATACTCACTTGAATTTCGACTGGGTGCTCACTCTCATCCAAAAGAAGAACGTGGCAAAACCATTCGGCATTGCCTCCGAGACAAGACATATTCCACAACACTTAACCTTCAACTCATCACCTACAAATGGGTCTCTAAACTGTTGCACTGTTTATGATGTCATGTCCGTTCGCACACATTAACAGCGTAGTTCAAGTACCAAGTAAAGAACTTCTCTATTACTAATCATGCAGCTTTCGAGTGAAGCTCTCAAAAGTGCTATCCTCCAAAATATAACCTTGACACCTCCTTATATGGAAGATGGATTAACGCAACTTCCGTTACCAACACAAAGGCTGAAGTATAGCAATCAAAAGATATAAGCGATACCCTTTGTAAAGTCGATTTGCAGCATTCTAACACATAGAAATTTCTTCTATTCTTCCTTATATATTTCAAATTACGGAGGGCCCTTAGAATGATGAGCTTTTGCGTCTTTTCATTTTGGTTATCATTCTGAAAATATCGACAGGAAGTGGGTTTCGCCGCAGTCGCAAACTCCATTTCAAGCCGGCAGGCTAACATGATTCACAGTTACTAATATTACACGTTTTAATGAAATTTTTCAGGAAAAGACTGTGTACCAGAAGAGGAGCTAGAGCTGAAAACCACATCGTTTAATAATATCGTTCTTTTCGTCTTTGCAAAGCTTCGAAAAGCTATTACAGAAGTAAGTTGTGTGGGCACACGTGAAAACCAAACGTTTTGCATCCATTGTTCTCGTTTTACATAGCGGATATGACATGTTTCCCAAAACAATAGGCGTTGATCCCACACACACACACACACACACATGCACAGATAATTAACTGCATACCGTAAACCTACTAAAGCAAACAGCAGAGTTAAGCTGAATTAAAAAAACACACACATCAATACTCGATAGCTTGCAGGGATTCACCAGATTTCATCCGAGTGAAATGTAAGAAAGTACTTTTTTAAGGAGCTTTTTCTTTCTAAGCAGTTTTCTGGCTATTTTTATCGTTATAACCTTTTTTTTTTTACGTATAATGTATACGTGGAAAGGGATTAAAATAGTATATTATTCGAAGTGAAACTTTGAAACTGATCAGTGTTTGCAAGCAAATAATAATCATAAGTTAAGGGGGGAGAGGACGATGGAGAAATTTCAGTTTTCAGTAAAATGGAACCAGGAAGGTGAAATGACCGACTTAGGAACCGCTTATAATTTATCACCTGCGGGGAGTTGTGGATTTTGGTTGCGTTATCTAATCCCCCTAAGGGGCCGACCATATAACTCTTGAGGGGCGGGGGATGGGTGATTTTGAAAAAAAAATTCCTGCAAACGCTTGTTGGAAGAAGAAAATTGCATGCAGCCCAAATGTAACAGAAAAAAAAAGAGCATTTAGAACGGAAAAATATCTTGACCAGCGGATTGCTAGAAAAAAAATTTCTTGATGACCAGAAATCACCCCCCCCGCTCAAAAGTTAAATGGTCGGCCCCTAAGGCTCTGTATTATTCTTTGATTGATGATCCTCGTCATGGATCCCCCTGGGGTCCCCTCTGTAAACTCTGTTAGTGACGACTGACCCTCCTCCGTGCCCCCTGTAAACCATGTGATCCCCCTCGCAGGCGATAAAGAATAAACAGGTCCCCAATAAATGGGAAAGGGCAAGAAAAATTAATTCAACTCAACATGATTTTATGTACAGCAGAACCTCGCTAACATGAGAGTCTGGATGGGGTTAACTGACAACTGACAAATCGCTCAAAAACTAACTGACAACTGACATTTGTGGTGGGCTTTTACTGACAACTGACAAAAGCCCAGATCGTCCTAAATATCCTAAAAACTGGATGTAAAAAGAACAGGACAGATAAAGAACAGATAGTTGATTTCTTTTGTTCAATGAAAGTACATTTTCCATTACATATCAGTAGGAGTACGCCACAGTGTCCTATTTGAATAATAATAATAAATGAATATAAATAATAATTCATAATAATATTCATTTATTCATTTATTCATTTATTCATTTATTCATTTATTCATTTATTTCATTTATTATTCATTTATTATTATTATTCAAGATGCTAAAACCGTACTGGCGCTGAAAAAGCACCTTACTTTGTTCCTTGGTCTAAAGAAGTTGTCTAGTAAATATGGCCTCGGAGATTTTGATGTGAAACTTTATCACATGGCTCTGAAATCAGGCGGCAAAAGCGATATTTTGCGTTAACTACGGACGAGCAATGGAATTTGGAGCTTCCGACCATGTTGGCTGGAACGGAAGCAAATTAAACAGTATGTATTGGAGTGGTTTGGTATTTGGTATTGGTATAAATATATCAGTTAATAGCGTACTCTTTATTTTTAAACGCCCATTAGATGCCGACTTATAAGCGCCGTCAGAATTTTTTCATTCTTGAATTCATGTTGATTATGTTTCATGCAGATTATAATGACATTGTTAAAGTGACTGCGAAAAGTTAAATCTTATAGAGTCACAGTGATGCGACTGACTGGTCCTATTTCGTGACGTTTGTCTGCTGGGCATATTCTGGTTTCCTGTGATTTTAGAGAGTTCTTAGCTGGCTCGAATTACATTGTGCAGCATTTGTTACGCACCTCATGGCTTCACAGTAATAATCACAGAGTTATAACATTTTGTTCTTATCACCTCCTTCATATCTTAAGTGATGAATTTGGAAACTCGAAGCCGCTGAATTCGGAAACTCGAAGCTTGTCCAGGTTCACCCTTCTTTAGAAAAGCCAACTTCAATCTGTGCTGCAAGTGAAAACATTCTTTTGTGTGCAGACGATGCCCAGAGAGGAATTATACAAGTGACATTACATAACAATGGAGTTGGCATCGTGACCGACCCGACTGGCATTTTGAACATCATATCTATGAAGTTCTCGAACAAAGAGCTTACTTTGCAGCAGTCGGTCTAACGGTGGCCTTTAAGTTTGCGACCTTCCAAGCTTAGAAGCCCCGGCCAGACCAACACTCAAGGTCTTAAAATAATTGAGAAGAATTTGCTATCTTTCTGTAACATCAAGAAATGGTTAGATATTCTAGTCTTCTCGGATAGGGACGAATAAATGGAGGTCCCGTCTCCTGTAGGGTTGGGGCAGGAGACGTTAATTTCCCACACACGAGATTACTGTGTGATGGATGTCCTCCC